GAACGACCTGGGAGGGCCATAGCGACAGTGATTCATACAGAGCCAAGTGCGCACCACCACGCAGTCCCCGTCAGGCAGTGCAGGAAGCAGAAGGAAGAGCCTTGGGGGTAAGAGATTAAGGAAGAGGCTGGGTTTAGGCTGATGCAGGATTTTGTGGGGCAGAGACGAGTAGAGACAAGATAAGGCTTCTAGCAGGTGGTTTAGGGACCCGAGGTAAGGAAGGGCAGCTAACTGGGAAGGGGTGGGTGAAGGGGGGCAGAGTCAGGCTAGGAGGGGTCGAGGTCACAGGTGGGGGTGAAGTCCAGGAGGCCCTGGGCTGGGTCCACAGAGGAAGGGAGGGAAGCCACCGACGGAGCTCCTACAAGCTAAAGGTGCTGTGCTGCCGGCGCCTGTGCGCGCCGACCCGCCTATATCTGGGGCTCCCGGGTCCTCCTGCCCCCGATGCGCTGGGCAAGGCAGAGGCAGGGACAAATTCTGGAACGTTCCAATTCCCAGGTTAGGGTCGGCCCGTGAACACCACTGAGCCCCGGGACCCTGGGAGCTGCATAGAGATGATGGTCTACAGCCCAGATCACCAAGGTGACGCGGGCAGGAAGAGCCCTGAGGTGGGAAGGGCGGGTGGGGGGTGCAGGGGGGGCGGGGGGGAGGCCTTAAGACTGGAGAGTCTGTAGCCACAGAGGCGGCGAGCAAAGCCTGGTCCCTGCCTTCCTCCTTCAGCTTCTCCTCCGGCCTTCTCTCCTCCACGGTTCGACGGTCACCGCAGTGCATTGATTCTGCCCGTCTGTCATCCGCCCGCATGCCACCGCCCTGGGCCTGCCCGGAGCTTCCGACCTCAGAATGGGGGTAAATTCAAAAGCGGCATGTGTGGTCTCCTCCACTATCTACACCCCGTTTTGCAGTCTAGTCCTGGCCAAACTGACAGCCCGACAATTCTCTCTGCTGTGATGTCACACCCTCACCACCTCCACCCTGCACCACGATGCCTCTTCTCTACTCACCCCTGCGCGGCTCCAAGCTCTCCCCATCAGAAGCCTTCCCAGCCCCAAGTATGCCTCTCACGGAGGCCCGTGAGACCAGGGGCTGTACCGGGCACATAGCCGGTTCTCAAGAAAGGTTTGCTAAGAGGCGGATGAAAAGGCTCCGTGTCACTTGCCACAGCCACACAGAGGTGGCCCAGGTGGGTCCTGGTGAGGAAGGAGATGCGTCCTGACTTTGAGAATTCAAACTTCAGCTGGTGAAGCAGCAAAGACAGGCTGGGCTGCAGACAGGGCCTTGATAATGCTACCGCCTCGTCGCTCCCTAGTCTCAGTCGTCCGTGAAAATCCCCGTCTACAAAGAGGGAGCCCCAGTAACGCTCACATGCACGTGCACACACACGCACGGACACGCTTGTCCCTGCCCTCAGCCTTCAAAACGGCTCAGGATTCGCTGGTCACCAGGAGGCAGCGTTGGCCCCGTGGCCCTCGCTGTAAGAGTCCCTGCAAGTCAGGTGCTCCCCGTGGAGGCAGCCCCCGCCCCTGCTGGGGAGCAGGCATTTGTCTGCCACCAGAGCGCCCACCTGAGCCTCTCCGGTCCGTCCAGGCAGACCCCGATGGGAGGCAGCGACCCCCAGCCCAGAAAGCAAACCCGAGTCTTCCTTCTAACAGCCGTATTGATGCCAGAGCGGGAGCTCGTTCACGCATATGATTTATTAACTAATTTAGCATGTAAGAAAGCCATCTGCATCTCGCTTTTATCATCTTCCCAGCAGACAGGCTGAAGACAAGATGTGTACCGCAGGCTTGTTTAATGGGGCCTTACGCACCCCTCGCACTTGCCCCAGCTCACACGAGGCTCTGGTTTCAGAAGTCGTCTGACTTCACTGACTTAACACAAACAAACAGGAGCATAAAGCTCTCATCGACACATAAACACCGCAGGAACGGGCAGGGTGGCCATAAAGTCCGTGCCCCAAAGTCCTGCCCACGGCATCCCAGCTGCCGGGCCTTCTCAGAATTAGGGGAATACAAAGGCACCTCGGTGATTTAAAACTATTGACTGGGTCTGATCACTTTTTATTATATGTGATTTTAAAATATTCATTTGATGTGAACTTCATTTAAAGATTTCATTTAGGGGCGCCTGGGTGGCTCAGTCGGTTGAATATCCAACTCTTGATTTCGGCTCAGGTCAGGGATTTGTGGGATCGAGCCCCACATTGGGCTCTGAGCTGAGCACAGAGCCTACTTCAGATTCTCTCTCTCTCTCTCTCTGCCTCTCTGCCTCTCTGCCTCTCTCCCTCACTTACGCTCTCTCTCTCTCTAAATGAAAAAAATATTATTTCATTTAATGTGACCTTGTAAGGAGATCTGCTTAGGGGAAAACACCACAGTTGGGTAATGTAGTGGGTAGAATTATGTCTCCCCAAAAAGATGTTCAAATCTCACCCCTACCCAGTTGGCCGGTTGTGATTGTGACTTAACTCAGAAATACGGTCTTTGCAGATGTATGCAAGTGACAAAGAGGTCACAGTAGATTAGGGTGGATCCTGATCCAGTGACTTGTGTCCTTTCAAGATGAGGACATCTGCATGCAAAGACACACAGACAAGGGGACGAAGCCATGTGAAGACGGAGGCAGAGAAATCAGTGATGCACCTATAAGCCAAGGATTGCTAGAAGCCACCAGAAGCCAGGGCAGGGGCACGGCATGAATTCTCCCTCTGAGCCTCAAAAAAATAAAATCAACCATTTTAGACACCTTGATTTTGGACTTTTGGCCTCCAGACTCCAAGAGAATAAATATCTATTATTTTAGCCAACCAGCCTATAGTCACCTCTTTTTAAAAGTTTTTTTTTAATGTTTAGTTATTTTTGAGAGGTGGGGGGAAGAGCAGAGAGAGAGGGGGAGACACAGATCAGAAGCAGGCTCCAGGCTCTGAGCTGTAAGCACAGAGCCCAACGCGGGGCTCAAACCCACGAACCACGAGATCATAACCTGAGCTGAAGTCAGACGCTTAACCGACTGAGCCATCCAGGCACCCCCAACCTATGGTCACTTCTTAAAGCAGCCCTAGGGATGACCAACAGGCATCTCCCTAACATTTGAGATGATGGTATTTTAGACCACTTGGGACCAAGAGTATGGCACAGCTGGAAGGTAGCTGGCCCAGAGGGTGACACCCAGCTGCTTACCAGCCTCACGCGGAAGAAGCTCTGAGTGTCTCTAGGGCCCCATCTCTTCCTATGCAAAGTATAGGGACTGGTTAACGAGGAAGCTGATCAGACCCCGTCTTCTGTAGGCAGTTCTGGTGGGCTCTATGCGGCATCGCTCTATGGTTATTGACAACACAGTTGTTAACAGAACCATTTTCAACAAGCAGGATCTTCAAAAATACCAAGGCCAAGTGGCCCACACTCCTCAAGCACCCTTGCAGCCCTTCCCAAGACCAGGGGAGACAGCGAAGTCCCCAGGGGGGCTCCCCGTTGTGGCTGACGCCTGGCTAGCCACCAAGGAGCTTGAGAAGTCTGCACCAAACCTAGAGATCTCTTTGTCGAGCCAGAGATTTTAGTCCCTGGGGGAACACACCCAAATGGCACTTGGATCTGCCAAAAGTTTGAAAATGTTGAGACAACATTTTCAAAGAGGGGAACTTTCTGCACGTTCATCCTGTCGACTTTTTTAATTATTATCTTAAAAAAATTTTTTTTTAATGTTTTATTTACCTCTGAGAGAGAGACAGCATGAGCAGGGGAGGGTCAGAGAGAGAGGGAGACACAGAATCTGAAACAGGCTCCAGGCTCTGAGCTGTCAGCACAGAGCCCAACGTGGGGCTCGAACCCACGAACCGTGAGATCATGACCTGAGCCGAAGTCGGGCGCTTAACCAACTGAGCCACCCAGGCGCCCCCTTTTAAAATGATTGCTATTATTTTTTAAGCACACTGGGAAAGAGCGGCAGGTGTTTTCCCGAGTCCTCTGCCACAAGAAGGATGCACCCCTGCGCGGGCCTTAGCACCTACAGCGCCCTGTGCGGATGATGGACACAGCCTGTCCTCCGACGGCAGAGGTGAGCAGGAATTCCGGTACAATACCCTTTGTCCTCTGTCTCCCAGGCTCCCCTACGAGATCTTGGTAACGTTCGCTGAGCTGCATTTTATTGAATATGGTTATTTCCCTAGAGGACTTTTATCCAGATTTATACCCATGATTTCACCTCCCGGGGGCCAGAACATTTTCCTAAGGAGAAAGATCTTGCTCCTCTATCCAAAGGAATAAAGTGGAGGTTTCCCCAGGCCTCCAGACTTTAAGATTGGAGTTGGCAGGCTTTCGATATGGGCTCTGACAGCCCATTGTTGCCCTCATTGCTTCTTGTTATTCTTGCCGGTTTAATAGTCTGTTTATGAGCTCCATGAAGAAAGGACCGAGGCTAGCCTGGCTCGCTGCGCTATCCCCAGCTCCCGGCATGGTGCCTGGCCCGGAGAAGATTCCGGAGAACTCCGTCTAATGAGCGTGCGAGTGCCACCCCTCACAGGGTCGGCCCGGCGCTGGCTACACCGCCGTTGGAAAGCTGGCCATTCGCGCTCTGAGCTCACAGCAGGAGGGGGGTTTCAGGATGACAAATATTGATGTAGACACGCTGGAGTCAACCTCTCACCCTGAGATCTGTTTTGCAATCTATACAGGGCAGAGGGGATCTCTTGTGAATGTCTGTTAGGAGCCAAGAATTTGAACTTGCTACCCTGGCCGCTAGAGTTACGTGGCTTCTTTCCCAGCTGTAGTGGTGAATTTGCATCCCGGGCTGGTCCCGCCAACTGCAGTGGCCTGTGCAAGCTCCTGCCGTGGGCTGGCTCCCAGAGGGGGCTTCAGGACAACACCCAGGCTTGGATGGACGGCACAAATCTGCGTCCTGTGCGCGTCAGAGGGGATCACCTGCACCATCGCCTTGGGTGAAGGTCCTGGTCTCCCCAGGCACCCCGTCCCACCTTCCCCCACCCCTCCCCCAAGCCACCTGTAGCTTACCGCTAAGAGGGTGGGGAACTGTGAACTGCTTCTTGTTGGCGCGGACAGGAAACAGGCTCTGCTTCTGCCCTAGGTTCTCCTTCCGCTGGGCTTTTCTCTGCTGCATCATGTGTTCCAACTTCTTGAGCCGTTCTTGGGAGCGAGAAATAAACTGGGGTTTACGGACCTCCAGCGCTTCCTAATTGCAGTGAGAGAAGATTTTATTTTATTGTTTTAAAACATTTTAAACTTTTTTTAATGCTTATTTATTTCTGAGACAAAGAGAGACAGAGCTTGAGGTGGAGAGGGGCAGAGAGAGAGGGAGACAGAGAATCTGAAGCAGGCTCCAGGCTCTAGGCCATCAGCACAGAGCCTGACGCAGGGCTTGAACCCACAAACTGTGAGATCATGACCTGAGCCGAAGTCAGACACTCAACCGACTGAGCCGCCCAGGCGCGCCAAGAAGATTTTATTAAGAGAAGTAACACAGAAAGGCAATATATCCTTTTGATTTGATCAAGAAGCTTATTGAAAGTACAACATTTGGGGCACCTGGGGGGCCCAGTCGGTGAAGCATCTTACTTTGGATCGGGTCATGATCTCACGGTTCATGAGTTTGAGCCCCGCATCAGGCTGTGTGCTGACAGTGCAGAGCCTCCTTGGGATGCTTTCTCTCTCTCTCCCTCTCTCTGCCCCCTCCCCACTCTTGCTCTCTCTCTCAAAAATAAATATAATAGGGGCATCTGGGTGGCTCAGCCAGTTAAGTGTCTGACTTTGGCTCAGGTCATGATCTCATGGTTTGTGGGTTCAAGCTCTGTGCTGATGGCTCGCAACCTGGAGCCTGCTTTAGATACTGTGTCTCCCTCTCTCTCTGCCCCTCCCACACTTGTGTTCTGTCTCTCTTTCTCTCTAAAAAATAAACATAAACAATTTAAAAAAATAAATGTAATAAACTTTCAAAAAAAGTACAATACTCAAAGACCAATAGCCGCAGTGGATGAGCACACCACACGTTTCTTCCGTGGCCTTATGGAAAGACTGTAACAGACATGTTGATGACACAGGGCCTGGTGGTCAGTCCTGGCCAGCGCCGAGGGCCTCACTGCAGCATGACTAGCAACCAATGGCATGGCTGTGAGTGCGAAGGCGCACTTCAACCCATTCCTTCTTCCTGACAACTCGTTCAATTCCCAACAGACCCAGACCCGAGCACCCTGAACTCCATATTCCAAAGAGACGTGGGTGGGGAAGGAACGAAGGTGTTATGAGTCACTTGGTTCTGCTGGGTGTTGGAAGCCTCAAGCACAGACCTAGAACATCCACCCAGCGTGAAATATGCGCCTTTTCAGGAGAAACAGGAAGCTTGGCTAACAGGAACAGTGTCTACTTCCAGGCAGAAGAAGTTGGCAAAACATCTTTGCCGATGCAGAGAGGTCCGCTGGGGGGTTCAGCACGCCATGTTTCCCGTCCAGCCGCATCCCCCACCTCCCTCCTGTGCCCGCACACCCACTAAGCCACCTACTCAGGTCTTCTGGAAAAGAGTAACCACCACCGATGCCTTTGGATGGTTTCTTTGGATTCCCTGTCTCGGGGAATCTCCACACGGATTCCCAAAGGCAGGGATATATTCCCACTTGGCAGATACAACATCTGAGGCTCATTGTTGGATCCCATGGTGACCCGCAGCTGAGAGACCCCCATGCTTTTCCCACACTGCCTTTTGTGGTCTTAACTTGCTATTCCTTGATCACCTCTGTTCAAGGGTTTGTCCGCCTGTAGTAATACCTCCCAAGACGCCCATCGCTTAGAGTCCCAGCCTGGCTGGGGCTCCCCGCTCACCCCGAGCATCATGATACTTCACAGACCACCTCGTACAAGTGATGCGCACACACCTGTGGCCGCGCTGGGCTGTGAGGTCCTGGACAGCACGGGCCATGCCTCACCCCCATTGTGTCCTTCGCAGCCACTACCCTGAGCTCTGTACATAGGAGGTTCTCAGCAAAGCCCCTCTGGATGTGCGGCCATGTCTGATCCATTCATCTGCCTGACACCTCTTCCGGCCCTTTGGGAGCTGCGTCCCCAGGGGGAGGGCAGCTCTGGCTCTCTCCATGTCAGGGATGTGGCCCTGGTAGCTGCCCCAGGGACGGAGTCTCCTTGGCTCGCTGGTCTCCATGACACAGGGGGGCCTGCAGAGATACCCCTGGGAACGGCCTAGGGGCCCAGCGTGGCTGCTTTGGGGACATCAAGAGTCTCTCACCATGGACCTACCCAGGGGGCCCAGGGGTGCAGGGACCAGCCAAGGGCACCACCTGCACACCCGTAGGGAGGTTTACGACGTTGCAGGTACTTGCCAAGAGAGTGTGCCTCCCTATGTGACACACGGTAGCAGCGGCTTTCTCTTATGTGTCTGCCCTTCTCATTTTTATATCTCTGTAATTCTGAACTTTGAAAACTGTGCACATGTTACTTCTACAACCACAACTGGAAATAGACACCAAATGAAAGCTTTCACATCCTTGAGCTCCTGGCCACGTGATGTAGAATAACCTCTTTCCAAAGCTTAATGTCCTTACATGCAGGTGGGACCGTAGGGACCCCTGCCTCCTAGGGGTGCTGTGAAGATGCCCGCCCAGCGTCACCCACAACTTCTCAATAGATGCAGCCATTGCTGTGATCACTCACTATGGACATTATACGATCTTCATTCTAGCCCAGCAGAATAGATATCATCTCTCCGTTACTCACACTGTGAAACGGAGGCCCAGAAAGGTTAGGGGACCTGCCCAGAGTCACAGAGCCATTATGAAGGGCAGTCAGAAGCGGAAGTAAGATCGGGTCCCCACGGTCTCCCCGGGAAAGGTCTGCCATTGGTGGGGATCAAGCCGGGACGCCCAGAAGGCCTTACCTGCAAGCTCAAGGAAACTGCAGGTGTTTCCTGATACTCAGAACAGTCTTCTGACAGGTCAGGGGTCTCTGGTTGCTCTGGGGGCGCTGGCTCGGGGGGAGCTGGCTCAGGCTTCTCCCTCTTCCTGCATTCCTCTATTTTTACCACCAAGTCACAGCACTTGTAATCTCCTGGGAGAGAAGATTTAGAATTCCATTTAGAGGGGCAGCAGGAGTTTTGCCTGGCTCCTTGGCGCCATTAGACAGAGAAGACAATTTTGAAAATAGAGACACCAGTGGGTTATTAATGGGCCTCGTTAAGCCGAAGAGATGGTGCCTCACTGGACCCACCCCTGCCCCAGCTGCCCTGGTCACAGGGAGAAGTGTCAGTGGGTAGCCAGGCTTCACGAGTCGCTAATTACCCCATGGAGGTAGTCCATGGACTACCTGGAACCCTGGCTTCCAGGGTTCAAAATGCCTGTGTTCACAACAAAAAGAAACTTTTCCATTCTGTGCTTCATATTAAGCGTGTCCTGTACAATCATCACAGCTCAGTTGTTTGGGGGCAGTGTATTAATTTATCTTCTGTTTCCTACACTAATGATGTAAGACAGAAAAATGGTATTCAATTATTTATCCCTCCCCTTCATTTTCCGGGGACCGCCACTGGCTTTACATTTATAATCGGAATTCTCTCTCTCAATGCTGGCTCTGGCCACTTTCCCAGGCCATTTTAACATCCCCTTGTGGAAGAGGTCAGGGAAGGCATTGATTCGCAGGGCAGCCCCTGGCGTGGGGAAGGAGGGATCAATGTATATTGGCTGACCGCTCACTGACCGACTTCACCGCCAGGGACACAATGAGCCTTCAGTCTGTGCCAGCCCGCTCTTCCGGTGTGAGCTCCCCTGCCCCCCCACGCCGCCTCCCTAGACCTCCCCAGTTCTGAAGCTCCACAGCGCCTCCCTCCCTCCTCTCCCATATGCCCTCCTAGGGCCACAGAGCGCCTTTGATTCCACACCTAGTGACCTCCGACATCCAGGCTGAGCCCCAATCCTTTATGAAGGCCTCCCCTTCCCAAGGCTCTACCCGCCAACTCTTGTTCCCGCAGCAAGAACACACTTCACACATGTGGCAGCATCGGTGATGGGGTGGGTTCCTAACTGTGTGTTCTCACTGCACGAGCCCGTGACTCCCTCAAAGGCTGGACCGTGCCCTAGTCACCCTGCATCTCTCCACGGGGGCAGCCACGTGCCCAGGGGGAGCTGGTCCTGATGGGCGTGGAGAGGCCGCCACAGGATGCACCTCCATGGGCCCCGGAATCTCTCATCGGAAGCCCCTGTAACGTCCACTGTTCATGTGCGGATTCTCTCTGGCCTGGACCTGCTGCCCTCACTCTCCTCAGAACCTCCCTAAGATCTGCACGTCCTGAAGGCAGATCAGACTTCTTGTCGCTCACTCGTGGTGGGTGCTTCACGTCCAACTACTGCCTTTGATTCTCTACCAACAACATACTACTTACCGGCCCCCAAATCATCCTCTTTCATTCTTTCAAACATTTGCTCTTGTTCTTTCCGGAGGATTTTTCCCCGTTGCAACCCTCTTTCTGCTCTAGGCCTCACCGACCCGCCCAGAGATCCACCCCCCACGGGAATTAATTATGCCGTCGACCATACTGTTCCCCTTTCCGGCTGTGAACCTTCTTCCGGCTCACCCCGTCCACAGGGGAGCCGCAGTGCCTTCCATCCTTGCCCAGCTGCACCCCACCCACAGGACCCAGCAACCATCTTCCTCAGCGCTCACAAGAGAGCTCTGCCCGCTGTATTCTGGAAACCTTCTCCTGCCCAGTGACAGTCTCTGCTCCTCCCTGGCAGGGCCTCAGCCCCCCGGCCTTGCCCTCTCCCTTCTGCCCCTCCCGCCACCCACTGTCCGGGAGACGATCTCCTTCAGAGCAAATCTCTGCCCCTGCAAGGGCTTGGCCCTGGCTTCAGATCACACCCCCTGGGTGGGCTTCAAGGACTTTCCAACTTGACCACATGGCTTCCGACTCCCACTCGGCCCCACCCCTCCCCTGCACTCTGGGCCCCTGGACCCTGCATCGACCGTGCTCTTTCCATCCATCCGTGGCTTGTATGTGACTTCCCCTCAGTCTGCAAGCAAGGCTCTTTGCCCTTAGGTCTGATATGTAAGCCTCTAATCAGCTCTCATGTCCCTGCTCAGAATCATTTCCTCGAGGAAGAGGGCTCTGTCCGCCCCTCCTGGGAGCACCTGTGGTCACCTGAAGCTTCCCCACGGTCCTGCCCAACACAGGTATGACCCTGGCACCTCCAGCACTGGACTGACGGTGCTGGGAGGGCCGGGAGCAGTGAGCACAGTGACTGGCACGCAGTAGGTGCTTAATAGATGCTTCTTTAATGCGTTAATGAAGAGTTAGGGAGTAACTTGGCTCCCAAGTGAAATTATTTCTATCAATTACCAAAGACATTTTAACCTTTATATCCCAAAGCCGTACAACCCAGTGGGGTTCTCTCTGTCTTTGTCCATAGCTGTTTCAAAACATCTTCACTGATAGGAAATCTAAATTTTCCCACTGAAATCCAGGCACCACGGATCTCTTTTCTACTCTATTCTATTCTTATATTCTTTTATATATCAGCACTCAGGGCCGTGTGGATAGGGGTCAGCTACTTGGCCTTTGGAGAAGAGATGGCCTGGCTGGTTTTCTAGGTTCTCTCATCTTTGTGAGGCTCACATTGGGAGTTGCCTGGCCTCATGCTAGTTGGGTGCCGGGCCATGTGGGGCCTGCAGCCCTCAGCCACTATCCTTGCCAGTCAGTCACAGGGGACCACGGGTAGCCTGGTGGGCCTCAGAGCACCCACATCAGCATCTCAACCCTTCCTTAGCTAAGCCTGGGAGGCGGCCATGCACCTGGGAGTGGCTTTCCTCTTGGTATCGGTTGATGCTGACCTCATGCATAGCATGTCCCCAGGGGGCTGTCTGCTCCGTGCTTGTGAGGGAGAACTCACCCTCCCGGGAAACCTTCTGCTTCTGCTTGCTCTCGACTCCCGCAGTGGAGAAGGGACAGCTTTGTACTGTGAGCTTGTGTGAACCAAGGCTCGGAAGACATCATGCCATTTTCCATACACATATCAAGGAGGCATCATCTGAACCCTACCTCCCTTGCTCCTTACCTTTGGGAAACTCTCTTTCTACCTGAACATCATTGTCTTCCTGTGGAGAGGTGCACAAATCTTGTAAGGGGCAAAAAAATCCAGGTAAAAGGATTCTGGATTTCGGAAAGCTTTGCTGCCGACTCTCTGAGGGCTCAGGGAAGTTGTTAGATTGACAGGTGTTGCTTGGAGAGCTACACCCCTCGGGAAGGAAATCTTTAACCAGCTTCTGTTCCACCGGGGGAGCAGACAAGTTCGTGCGTGCTTCTTCTTGTTGCTTCTTGCTGCTTCCAGAAAATACGTTTGTTTCTACTAAAAATAAAATGAGAGTTGTGCTCAAAACATCTGACGAGGGGCACCTGGGTGGCTCAGTTGCTTGAGTGTCTGACTCTGGATCTGAGCTCAGGTCATGATCTCACGGTTTGTGGGATCAAGCCCTGTACTGGGCTCTACACTGACAGTGCAGAGCCTGCTTGGGATTCTCTCTCCCTCTCTCTCTGCCCCTCCTCCACTTGATCTCTCTCTCTCTCTTAAAATAAATGAATAAACTTTAAAAAATTAAAAAAAAAAAAACCACATCTGACCAGTGCACATCAAATGTATTGGCTTCTGCACACCTTCCTCCCCTGGAGATGGGGACATAGGCTGCGGTACTGCCTCGGAAGACCTGGAGCCGCTAGTGGCCAACGTGCACGTGTTACTGTGGGCACCCAGCAGGTGACCACCTTTCTGGGTAGGACCCTCCCACCCCCGCCGGCTCACTGAGGAGCTCAATGTATACACCAGCATCATGCATTTGGTCTAAAGAGACCACTCGCTAGTGCCCTTAAAAACTCAAATGTCTTTCTCAACAATGGGCAAAAGAGTGGGTGTCAGTACATGGACTGAGGGGTCAGAAGACCTGGGTTCAAATCCTACCTCTACTACTTATAAGGTATGTGGCCCCATCCATAAAATCAAAGTAATGCTATCGTAAGGTGACAACATTAAATATTATTTATTTATTATGATATCTGTTTTCATAGTAAGTTAGTATATGTATATTATAAACAACACACTGGTAAAATTTATAATTTTTATATAATATTGTATTCTTAATAAAAATTGAGGTAATACAAAAAATAATGATCCATGTAAGGCATTGAGCGCAGTATCTGGTCACAGCAAGCACTTATAAATGGTGGCTCTCACATGTACCCCAATGTTCATAGCAGCACTCTCAACAATAGTCAAAACATGGAAAGAGCCTGAGTGTCCATCAACGGACGAATGGATCAAGAAGATGTGGTTTATCTATATGACGGAATACTACATGGCAATGAGAAAGAATGAAATCTGGCCATGTGTAGCAACATGAATGGACCTTGAGGGTGTTATGCTGAGCGAAAAAAGTCAGGCAGAGAAGGACAGATACCATATGTTTGCACGTATAGGAGGATTAGGAGGAACTTAACGGAGGACCATGGGGGAGAAGAAAGGGGTAAATAGTGGGGGAAAGGGAGTGAGGTAAACCATGAGAGACTCTTGAATGCCGAGAACAAACTGAGGACTCGTGGGTGTGGGGGGGGGAGGGGATGGGGGTGATGGGCATGGAGGAGGGCACTTGTGGGGGTGAGCACTGGGTGTTATATGGAAACCAACTTGATAATAAACTATTTGTAAAAAAAAATAAAAAAATAAATGGTGGCTCTCATTACTACAGAAACATGGAGTAGGTTATGTACTGTGGCAGGGACACAGTTAGGAGGTAATGGAGGGACATATTTCTAACAAAGCTGCAGACTGAAAACGTGCACAACACGTTGCCCGTTGCCACGCCGTAATTCCAAATGTCTGGACATCACCTCCTGCCGCTCAACAGGGACCACTAAATCCCCGTTCACCCAGGCTTCGCAGCAAGGGAAAGGACAGGGTAAAGTCTCTTGTCTAGATGTGGACTAATCTCAGAGATGCGTTATCAGGTGAACAAAGCAACACGAAGGATGATGCATCAGGTCTGTTTCCACCAGTCAGAGCTTACATATACTCAGAACATCCCTGGAAGGACCCAGAAGGTGCTAGAAACCTGGGGAGATGGCAGTGCAGGGGACCAGGAACAGCGAGATGGGGACAGACTTTCTTTCCACTCTTTGCCTGTTTTGTACTCTTGGTTTTTATTTCACTTTTTTGCTTCTGGCGTATCCTACACATTGTTCAAAGTTATTCATTTTACCTGAGGCAGTGGCTCTTCCGCCAGGTGCCATCTCCTCGCTATGTGAATGCCCCCCGGGGGGGAGGGCCCCAGCTGGGCGAGGGGCCCCTGCTGCTGTAGCATGTCTCCAAACCTCCTGTGCACCAGGGAGAAAAAAGTCCTAGGAGCCACTGGAATAATGACAACTCTTAGAAGATTCTTCCAATGTTTTCTCCAACGTCATACACAGAAAGGAAATAAGCCCCTGACTACCTGGAACTGATTAGAACGGGGACTTCTCTTAAAATATCCCCGTTGTCTGTAATTTGCTCTGGCCCCTCTGTCCCTGACTCCTGGGGTCCCTGGCAATGAGAATGGTGTGAGCCTGGGGACACGGTGCAGGGCAGCGGGAAGAACAGAGGACACCTGCATGTGCGCCCTGGCTCCGGCGTCTGAGGCTGAAGAGCCAAAAATTAAGTCCCCCATTAAGAGCAACCTCGGGCTGCACGTAGCCCCAATCCCAGTCCCAGGAAAAGCCTCAGACTGTTCAAGGCTAAAGCCATCCTCGGACCACCCTCAGGTCAGCTAATCAAAAAACACTCCTATGGTCTGAGTCAAGGCTGGGAACTGCAGATACAAAGTAGCCAGTTTCTCACCACCTGCCTGAACCCCACGTGGGCCCTTTGAACTCATCTCATAATTGGTCATTTTCAAAGGATCCTCAAAAGTCATGATTGGGTCCCAGCAAAAGTAACGAACACCTCACAGACACTGAATGGTCAAAGCTGTAATTGTAATTGGTGCTTATGTGATGATGCCACATGTACTGTAACACCCCCGTCCCTTACTCCTTAAAAACCTTATTCGCTATTGTTCTTGGCTTCATCTTGCTGCCACGACACCGGTAGGCAGATGAGTCCCTGCTCAAGCTTGTAATAAAGACCTTTTTGTATTTGCATCGGTGTCGGCTCCTTGGAGGTCTCTGGGAACTCGCGAATCGGGCACAACAAGGCAAGCGAATCACCGGGGGGGGTGGGGGGGTGGTAAAGCCTGCTCTCCGTGTTCTTAGGAACAAACAGAATGAAGTAAAGCACCTCCTGGGTCCCAGTACCCTGGATGTACTAAGAAAATGACAGTCCTGTCGTTTGGAGAAGACATGTGGCCTCCTCTGGTAAAGGTCAGATTTCTTGTAATTTGTGCAGAAAGTATCTTTCTAAAGTTTGTCAACACTGTTTAAGTATGAAATGTCATAAGCAAAAAGTCTCAAAATAGTTATTCCTTTCCATATTGCCTCCCTTCCTGAGAAGCTCTCTTAAATGACTAAGAATGAAATCAATGCTCAGCGGTGCACTTCCCAATCTGCTCCTTTCATTCTGGTGTTGGGCTCTTTAAGGGAGAATGACCTACCTACCCACCTATTAGCTACCTATCTGTCTGGTTTAATGTAAATTCTTTTTATTTATTTTTGAGAGACAGAGGGCAAATGGGGGAGGGGCAGAGAGAGAGGGAGATACAGAATCTGAAACAGGCTCCAGGCTCTGAGCTAGCTGCCAGCACAGAGCCCGACGCAGGGCTCAAACCCATGAACTGTGAGATCATGACCTGGGTCGAAGTCGGACGCTTAACCCACTGAGCCACCCAGGCGCCCCTAATGTAAATTCTTATGTGAACCATTCTGTGCAATTCAGGTGGTCCACTTGTGAGCTGAAAGAGTTAACACAATTCCCAGAAAATAGAATGTGGTTGGTTTGCCACAGAAAAGAAAAAGAGTCAGTCAAAGAGGGACTCTCCTGACCACTTATTGATCAGATCTCTTTTTGTGGATTCTGAAAAGTACAATCATCAGCCATGAAACTGTCCTCAGGTGGGCCTTCACAAAGCAGGGAAGCACACACTGTCTTTTTTCTGTCTTATGCCCTGAATGTGGGTTGGACTGAGAGTTCTCGATTCACACCCCAAATTTTAAACTCTGTCACCCCAATGATGACCCACTGTAACGTGGGCTCTGCCTGTCTGAAGAGTCTTAAGCAAAACAGGAAGAAAGCGGCAGTTTCTATTTCTTGGACCCAAACTCAAAGCCTCCTTCCTGAGCCTGAATTTGGAAGAGCTGGTGTATTGCAGGCTCCCTTGAAACAGAAACGTTCCCTCTGTTCCCTTTCCTAAAATGCATCACCCTATGGGTTGATCTTCTATAGCTCACGTATTCAGCAGACTCGGTGATGCGGAACCGTGTCCTGCTCCAGGAGGGGAACAGAAAGTAACCGAAGATTCCGCCCAGCAGTTGCAAACTGTCTTGTCTAGGATTTTCCCACCCATGTCCGTATCCATAAACAGTGGATCTCCAATACCAACAGCAAGCTCAAGGTCGGTTGGTTGCAGCTGAGGCTGTCATTGCACCTGCTACTCAAAAGCTTCCAGGAGCACAGAGATCAGCAGGCTGCCTTGGCCACAGGTTCTCTGAGAGTTGATGGGGCGTGATTGTGGGGAAGACAGAGGTAAGCCATGAGCGAGTACCGGAGACAGGAGGGTGGCCACAGTGTGGGCAGCAGGGGGGCCCAGCTGGCAGGAAGAAGGCCAGGGGAAGGGGCTGCTCTGACCCATCATGCTGTTCCTGTCCTTACCTTGTGCCACTATAGGCCTTGGGATTCCCCTCGGTGGTGAGATGTGGGCCCTGCCCTGACCTAGGCACAGGGTAGGCAGGGGAGCGGGGGCCTCATGGACACACCCTGCATCACAGCCAACCAAGAGATGTGAACTTGGGCCAAGGTAAGGGTACCACCAGCCCATGCGGGTCCACCAGCCTGTCCATGGTACAAAATGAGGAAAAGGCATCCCTTCTGCAAGACACTTTATCTCCACTGGCCAGAAAAAATCACAATGAACCAACCTGATAGAAAAAGACACTTCGCTGATTCTTTCCAAATATTTAGGCAGTACAATCTTTTATGTTCTTAGATGAGCCCCTGTTGAGCCACTGGCCCCCCGCTGGCATATGATCCTGTGACAAGCTGGCTCACAGCAGAACTCAGAAAGTGGACAGTGGTTGCTAAAGAGAAGGACAGCCCAGCAGCCAGATTCTATCAGTGAATTCCAAAGGAAGAGCAAAAAAACCATGAACACACACACACGAGCCAGGGAAGAT